CCAGAATATTCCAATGGAAATATTCAAGAAGCTTCATCAACTTGCTGTGCGTATGATTTTCATATGGCCAAGACATAGCCAGCTTGACAGGTTGACAGTTTTTCGGTTGTGTTTTGTAGGCTGGTAATGTACACTCGTCTTTAGTGAACATAACGCGGTTGAACGGTATGACCGCTCTTACTGCAGCGGTGATTAAAAGAGCTGACACCGTCCTTGTGCGACATGTTCTCTGTGTCCAGTTGTCGATGATTTTGCGTGATATCTCAGTTATCTTTCGAGATAGGACCTTGCGGTTTTCGCGGTCCTGTGCCATTTTTTTTGGAAACCAAGATAGCCTAATCAGATTTTATACAGTGTGTCCATTTAGTGCGTAATTCTTCGATATCTCGAAATCAATTATCACAAGAGAAATACTTTGGGGGAAAAACTTTTTCAGTTACTAAAGTTGCTCGATTCAAAAATATTTCCAACAATACTGGGTGTCTTATGAAAGCGGGGCAACTCGAAGACGAGTTTTTTCAAATGGAACACCCAGTATTGTTTATTCAAACTTCATTCCGCTAAGGTTCAGCTCTACATCACTGTGAAAAAAATTGAATTTGGTTGCGGCGTTGCCAAGTTATAATTGATAAACCTATTTTTACTACTATTGAAGGGTCATGTTCAATTGGGTATGGTATATTTATTGATTGAAATCTCGAGAATATTTTTGGCATACAGTAGTAGCAAGGTCTCACGTATACCAATTCAGTAATCTTGCGAGATAATCCTTTACAGGGTGCTAAAATTTACATTCTGAATATTGTAAGATTCAGACGACAATCATAAGAATTTTTCAAATGGAACACCCTGTATTTTTCTCCACAGATTTATTTCGACATCATTCGCCTTTTCATCGCTGAAGAAAAAATCAAAATCGGTTGCGGCGTTTTCAAGTTATGAGTAATTTCCTTATTTTTACTACTATTTCGGGGTAATTTGTACGTCATAATGGTTCCATTATTTGATTTCAGTGTGGGAATATTGCTTGCCACATGATATTCGAGGTTCTACATAGATCATTCAGGTATTTTTGCGATATGTGCATTGTCCAAATTTGAAATATTCGGTAATCTTGTTACTTATGATTTAAATAATATGTGAAACAAACAAACATGCCAATACAAACAATGAAGATGCGGATTGCGAAAATTAGGACAATTTCTTGAAATTTGGGCCATTTTTATTGTCGTTATTCCCACAATCCAAATTTTCATTTAACTTGAAGGAGGTAAACATAATGATACAAACAATATGTCTCTACTACGCGGCTTTTGGGAGGGAATTCAGCGAAATTTCGGATAAATCCAAGATATATTTGATTGTGGCGATGTTTGACAGGTCATTACACAAATATAAGTGTATTCCGAAAAAAACTCAAACTTGGAGAGCCTGTCAATGTTCCTATTGTGAAAAAATATATAAATGGTCAATGAACAAATCTGATTATACCGTAGCAACGCAATATTCCCACAATACAAATGAATGGAAGAGCTATGACGTACAAATTACCCCGAAATAGTAGTAAAAATAAGGAAATTATCCATAACTTGACAACGCCGCAACCGATTTCGATTTTTACTCCAGCGATGAAAAGGCGAAAGATGTCGGAATAAATATTTGAAAAAAATACAGGGTGTTCCATTTGAAAAATTCTGATGAATGTCATCTGAATCTTGCAAAATTCTAAATGCAAAATTGAGCACCCTGTTGAAGAACATGTCGCAAAATCACTGGATTGGTATACGTGGGACCTTGCTTCTACCGTATGCCAAAAATATTTTCAAAATTTGAATAAATGAATATACCATGCCCAATTCAACATGACTCTTCAATAATGGTAAAAATAGATTTATCAATTATAACTTGGCAACGCCGCAACCGATTCAATTTTTCTCTACGGCGATGTGAAGGTGAACTTCGGCGGAATTAATTCCGAATGAACAATACTGGGTGTTCCATTTAAAAAAACTCTTCTTCGAGTTGCCCTGCTTTTATAAAACACCCAGTAATGTTGAAAATAATTTTGAAATGAGCAAATTTAGTAACTGAAAAACTTTTTTCCCCAAAGTTTTTCTCTATAGGTTATGGCTTGCGAGATATCGAAGAATTACGCACTAAATGGAGACACTGTATAACTATTTCCGTTTATGAGATACAGGGCGATTTTGAGAATTTGTACTTTTTGAACCCCCTCTATATCTACTAAGTTTCTCACAGGGAAAATGTGAAATTGAAATCTCATCCCATAGAGAATTTTTCGCAGAATCCAGTGGCGTACTAAATTTTTTTTCGGAGTATGTTTTTGCAGATACAACTCAAACTAATGATTTTTTAATTAATTGAAACTCTCGTGGTTAATATGAGTGAAAATTGGTAAAAGGGTTTCAAATTTGGCAAGTGGATGTTAGGTTAGTTCATTGTACAAGTGTTTTTGAGGACTTTCTAGAAATTTTGCTTGTGTTTGTGATGTTTTCATAATCAATTCGGATTTCCATTAAGAAAGTAGTATTCCTTCTCGGAAAATATCAATCCTTTTCGTTATGAATGATTCATCTGTGAGAATTGAAAAAATCAATTTCTAGTTGGCAATAGTATGTCGTCTTTCAAGCTCCACCTATCGGTAATTTGCCATAAAAATTCCGAGTGCATTCGAAATTGAAGGGAACGATATTTTTAGCGGAAAGAATGCCATCCACAAGCTTGAAATATATTACCGGGATATTTCCTTGCACCTTTCTCCTGGAGAATAATTTATCGCCTTCTCTCCCAAGAAATACACTGGCTACAAGGACTCACTTCGTACCTATATGAGTTGAGTTATTACCTAAACGAAAGTAAAATGGTTGTGAATTATGTAAGGTATAAGAGTATACTTTGTTTCTTTTAACTTGTTGATCTTCGGATGTTTTGTTCTACATCAACATCGTGATGAAACATTACTGTTTGCTCTTCATTTCCATCTTCAAGAAGGAGGAAAATTACGGGCGATAAGTAGAAACAATCGATGTTTCACACACTGGAAGGAATCATCGTATTGTTGGAAGCAACTTCATGTCCAGTACACAGCTTCGCGGATGATAGTATACCCTCCATACCGCCTTCTCTTCCAGGGCTCCAATACCAGCCAGGTAAATAAGAAACGAACGAGGGAGAAATGTTGACAACATAAATATGGACTTGCCAACAATTCTCGGATAACTTGGTAGATTTCAATGCAAACAGAACACAAGCATGCCTTTTCTCTAGAAAAGCCGATCTCACTGTACCCAACATAAGCTTGTCAGGAGTAACCATACCTTTGAAGACATCCATTTCGATCATACTATCAGCAATAACCTTTCTCTGGAAAATCACGTGAGATTAATTTCTAAAAGTGCATCCCAAAAACTTGGTTTTCTGTTCCGGGCCAGCCAGTCAGCTGCTTATGATCTATAAGGCACAGATCCGACCTGTCCTGGAATACTGCTCCCATATTTGAAGTGCAGCATCCAAACATACCCTTAAATTGTTGGATTTTGTCCAAAAAAAGGGCAGTTCGTCTCGTGGGTGATGCCTCGCTCACAAACTCACTCACTTCTCTGGAACACCGTAGAAAAGTTGGCGATCTGGCTCTATTTTATAGATATTTTCATAGACGATGGTCTTCTGAAATATCAACAATTGTTCCTCCCTTGGCAGTTCCCGAGTTGAGGCTTCGCACCCCTTCGTGGTCACTTTGGAGACCTGCAGAACATCTCGTTCCAAAGACTTGTTCATCCAACGAACAGCGCGAGGCTCTGGAATACATTGTCAAGGGAGGTGTTCCCCGAGGCATATAACCTCCAGAAATTTGAGAAGAACATCAATTCCTACCTTATTTCCCTTGGTTTTCACGATGTTCTGTGAACATTACAGGATATTCCTTCTTGTGGGAACCAGATCATAAAAAAAATATTCCCACAATCACCTGGTAGCTGCTCATCTCTGCCTCTATTGTTTGTCGAATTCATCGAAATTTCAACCTGTTGAGTCTTTTTGCTTCGGTCTCTTAAGCCTTCAAGTACATTAATTCGTACAAAAATCTGATAAAAATACAGGGTGATATACCTGCCATTTGATAATCAAAAGTTGAGGTTACTGAAGTGCCTGAATTAAAATAATGGCATCAACAAATGATCTTTGCATTCATTGACTAGTTGGTAATTAATACAACATATTCCGAAGACGCCAAATTGTGTTCAAATGTCAGGTTAGGTTCTAGGAATAGGAAAACGAAGTTGGCCCCATCAGTCTACTCCGTCCACAATGAAAAATGTAAAACACATTCATCTTTAACGCCTTTTTGATTTTGTGTATTCATCAAGCATCATAAAAGCATATCACACAGCGAGAGAGGGAGACAGAGAGAGAATTATCAACAGCTAAGCAAAACTTTTCGACATCAGCGAAATTTTGAGAAAATGCACTTAGATGCGGTCTCGAGTTCTCAACAAACTTCGCATCTACTTTAGTTCAAATCCACAAACACCTCCGGAATAGCAACTGTGTCTGTACGTCAACCTCTTAACCCGAATAATTAATGTTCCAGAGCAGAGCCTACAGCAGAAACATGTTTTCATTCAACAATACCAGGACTCGCATAAGTACTGATGTTGGTGAACAAAATGATTCTAGAGTTTACGAATCAACGAAGTAATTTGTATGTCAGAGATGACATGCACATTATCATACATATAATTATACTACATCGACCGCGACAAAAGCGTATGTATGTCAAACTAGAAGACTCATTCAAACTAGGTTCAAAGAACATTTTGCAAAGTATAAAATACACACTCAAGGCCGGTGACAAAGAGAAACCATTGAAATTTTGAAAACAAGTAATGCTCCTGCTTCCAATGGGAAATATAAACACTAGAAATCTGAACATTTATAAATAGACGTCTCTCGAGATGTTTTCGATGCCAGCTATAGCGTCTTGATGGCCTTCTATTCATGAATTACACACAGTTGTTTCAGTGTTTGGCAATGGAAGAGAGTGAAACCTTTCTATAAAAGAAGGAAAGTGTGAAAACATTCGGATTTTATAATAATGAGTTCTAGCATATTCTGAGAGCTCCAAAGGAAGTGTAAGTTTTTGATCATTTTCAATCTTGTTCAGAATCACATTTCCTCCCATATACACTATACACATAGATTCCATAATACAAGATTGGTCCAATTAATCTTCAGAGATATTGGCGATTATGATCCTTATTTTAAATTCCACAGTTACATAAATGAAGAAAATGTACTGGATCAACACAAATCAAAGTGAAATCATCTAAAATGGATAGTTTTCAATTCCTCTCATACCTTGTGAATTACGAATAAGATACACCCTGAATTTGTATCTATAGTAACACTCATTATGTGATGATTGTGATGTGATTATCTCTATTCCTTCACAACGGGTCGGAGAAATAACTTTTTAGCAATCCTTATACACTCTGAATATAGAAGTAACTACCCCATCTCACATACCTACAATATTATCCCTTACGTCTCAATTGCAGAAAACTTTGGCATTGATCTTTTTCAGATAAAGGGTATCGAATACTCTGTCCCATCCATTTTCAGGAAATTGGTCAATGCAAGAAGCCGAAGATCAAAAATGCACAAAGAGATTGCCTTCCTAGTGATTTTCAGCTCTGTCGTCCAGTATGGAGAACAAAGGAAACAAATCAGCATTGGTAAGAAGGTTGAAATATTAGACAAAATCAGATTTCAACAATATCGATACATGCCCATGCCCTAGTTTATTCTCAGACTTCTTTTATTCTTTGAATATCACCAAATGTATTGAAAACCGGAGGATATTTTACGAAGTTCCGCAGGGTTTCATTCTAGGGCCACTACTGTATTCAATCTACGTACATCCCAACTCATTCTATCGAACAGTCAAACTTGATGACTCAGCTATATCACAATTAAGAAAGGGAGAAACGCGAGAAAAAATCTGAAAAGAGGTTTGTTTCCATATTTGGTAACTTATGTAGTGACGTCATCAGATTATTCTTTCCTGCATACCTGCATTCGGCATTTTCGAAGAAAGTTATTTTTTCTGAACAAATTTCGTGAAAAAGTAGAGTAAAGTCAAGGATTATGGAATATATTCGGGTATGATATGGAATACCATATTTTTGGCAAAACTACAAGCGTCATCTATTCTAATTTGTTACAATATTATTCCATTGAGTTCAGAGTTCTTCCATTCGTGTGTTCATTCCATAGGTATCTATCGTTTCTGACAGTTCTGATAGTTGATGGAATTTCGGTGCTCACGAAATTTTTAGTTAAGTACATTAAATTTATATTTGAAACACATTTGGAAGAAATTTTATTTGCTATTATTGTTTAGTTAAGTAGATGAATGATGTATAGAGATATAGAGATAGCGCTAATTATAGAGCATCTGTTTTTTTTAAGATTTAACATCCGAAGTATAATAGGCGGCAATCATGGAATATTATTCCGTATTACCCGACTCAATCATTGAATACATCGAAAAATTGAACAAAATGTAAAACAATGTGGAAACCACAACTCCAGAAAGTGGAAATTAGAATGAGGAAGATGAAAAATTTGCAGTGATAGCAGTTATAGAAGCAGAAGAATCGATAGTGGCTATGGATATAGTATGGCAGTGCATAAGATGCAAGCTTTAGGTACATGAACTGGTGTGCCGATGTGAGATCGATTACAAATATTTTGCCATTGTTGTCGTTAGAAGACATCAGATATATTTCATAAAGGAAATATAATAGTATTCCATATTAGCTGCTACTACCCGACTATCTTTTCGGCCAACAGAAATGTAATATTTTTTCAATGTTATCATAATTCGGTCTAATAAATTTTTTGGCCACGTCATCACCATTTTCAATTTATATTTCTTTCGATACTTTTCGAAATAACTCATACCTATATACTATCAAAAATTCACAATTGTCACGATTTGAACAAGTGGCCATTAGACAGAAATCTATCAGTCGCAAAAAAATCGAAGAAAAAGTTTTTCGTGTATGAACATTGTAATTCGAGGAATTTTAGGAAAAACCAAAAGTCGGGAAAAATGTCATTGCTCATAATTCTTTATTATTTTTTCTCCATAAAAATGGTTCAGAATAATTTACTCGTTTCAAACATGTTCCAGGGAAAAACATATCGATCATCTTTATTCTTTCAGTTGTCAAACATGGCAAAGGGCATTACTGAGTGTTATTCCAGAACCAATAGATATAATTATGAATTAGCGTGACTTGGAACATCAGAAAAAAAAGATCTGCCATCATTATAGGTATTTGTGTTTTGTATCACTAGAGGCTGATTAGGGCAATGAATAAGTAAACGTGTATAAATCAATCATAGTTAACAAAGAGCAGGAAAAAAATAATTAAATGAAGTTCAAACTGACTATGTATGACCACGTACCCTTTTCCTACAAAGTGACACTTCATTACATACGAACTGTTTGCTGCTCTTTCAGTAAACCTTCGTCTGTGTGCTGTCTAGCTAGAACAAATACAGACAACGATTTAGTAACTCAGTTAGTGAACTTCGTATCCCTGATATAGGGACAGAATAATAATGAGTCTTCCGCTTCTACTGTTGACTTGATTTTCACAAAACGTTCGTTGCAATGTTTGATCCGAAGATTTATGATTTTACATACACTACGGCAAAGCTTCGGAATTCTTTGCCAAGAGCCAAGAGCTTATAACCTCCAAAATTGAAAAAAAATCCAAGACCTACCTCCTCTCCCTATGCTCCCTAGGTAAGCACGATGTTCTTTGAACATTATAGGAATTTCTTTTCGTGCACTCCACGAGATGAAAAAACCTACATACGAGGACCTTATTCAAGAGATACTAATTTATATCGAACTTATTACTATTTATGTAAAACGATTTATATCACGCGGTATATAACTGTCTCTCTGACACTCTCTGCTTAACTGACTGACGGCAGTTGTTCGGCCATTATATATGAGATTCCTTGGAAGGATTTGGTTCGAGAACGTTCTCGAATGATCTTCCATCTCCTTATTTTTGTTCTAGAAGCTTCTTAGAACGAAACCCCTCTCTCTAACTCTTCCATCGATTGTTTCCAGAACATTCCAGAATCTTCTGTCACGTTATTTGTCACTGCGGCATATATTGAGTGTTCGGAAATATGCTGGTGCATGTAGGAGTCATTGGGAGGATGGGAGGTTGGAGAACGATCTGGGATGCGTGTTACAGGATGATTGTTGTACTCCTGCCTTCCTGCTGATGTTTCTAGAGCTCCTTTAAGGGGAATATCATTACACTACGTTTCGGACACCTAGAAATTCATCATCAGCTTCAGCTTTGCCATTTCGAAGGGCTCATTTGTTATGGAAATTCTGTCATACGATAGTTATGGTTTCACTCTTTTTTAGCTTGCTGTTATTTTGCAGGCATTTTCCTCGATGATGATGATCAATACGAACTATCGACTATCGCAGTTAGTAGCATTGTTCGAAGAATCAATCTCTTCACAAGAACCGACTATCTACTTCGTCCTCATATCTTCAGGGTATCAAATGGAGACCTTCTGGAAACTGGACAACTGAGTAAGCATTGAACAGGAAGCCTAGTTTATTATCAATACGAATATCAGACAAAAATGATGGTAATCTATCGGGACACTGCCACAACGTTATGGATACAGTCATCTCTTGATGTAGAAAAAACTAACGCAATGAGATATCATCGGCAAAAACGTTGCTCAATTAACATTCCTAGGAATCAGCATAGATGAATATTTAACATGAAAATACCACTGCAACAAATCGATAAAGAAACTAAATTCTCTCTGTTATATGTTTCGGAGTCTGAAAACGATACTTATGGAAGAACAGATGTTGCTGCTCTATCATGCTCAAGTTTCCTGACGAATCCGTTATGGTATACATACATTTTGGGGGTAACTCCACTCTATCACCGGATCCTTTTATTGTACAGAAAAGAATTATATTAAACAAAACTCGTCCGCCATATTGGTTCCACCATCTTGAATTTACAAATTTCGACAAAATAATCATAATATCCGACCCCGAAAACCTCCATGTACCAATTTTGAATGGAACCGGATCATAATGACAAAATCTGCCATATCGGAACCGCCGTCTTGAATTTCCTAATTTCCACGAATTTTGATACCTATTTTTCTATTCCGGACTAAGAAGAATCCATAGAATCAAATATCGGAAATCCAATGTTTTTCCACTCCCAGAAAAGTGCTAAACGCGCCTAAAGGAGTTTTTCTGCAACAGACACAAGTCTCCCATTTTAATACCAGAATTAGCTCTTGAATTGACGTTTCTATTCCTGACACAAAAATAGGTATGTTGCTAGGCAACATATTTAGTTCCTAGGAGCTAAAGTTGAACTTTAGCTCCTAGGAACTAAAAAGGATGTACTAGACGTCATCAAGAATAAACAACACTGTTACTGTTGGTTATTTGGGTTCAGACGCATACCTGATTTGTTTCCGATTTCGGCAGATTTGGCATTTCATACCCATGCTGGAGATATAAATACACCTAATTATAGGTGAGTATAGGAATTAGAAACATCTCAGTTAAGTATTTTTGTTTTGATCAGGGAAGCCATCAAGATTCACATACTTGCTTGATCTGTATTTCATTCGTTATTCTCGGGATGGATAACTTGTTTTTGAATAATCACGGCAAGCAATAGGTTTCTTCACAAACAACGATATTGCTTACCTCCATTTGATTATCAAGTCAAACACAGTGTAGTATGGAGAGGAATAAATAATCGCTATTATTATTATTGATATGCTCACTAACCTAACATTTTCCACGTCTTGTTCCTATATCTGGCACTGGCGCGGTATTTGCCATTAAAACACTTGGTCCATACACAAAAATATGTCACTCTGTGGTTGTATTTATATTGAAAGTACAATTCGAACATCCTTGGAAATTTAATAAGCCTGCTGTTGGTGCAGGTAAAATATTCTCACCACACCGATTATTTGTTGCATTGCATACATATGGCACGGCATTGGTGGTTATTTAATGTATTTATTTGAGTTAATTGTTTCGGTTGCAGAAAATATAGCATGTTCCATTCGGATCAAAAGTGACTTTGTTTGACAAGCGAATTTTTCATTTGAGAGGCGGAGCGTTTAGCGAAGCCGAGTGTCACTTCTGATCCTAATAAAACAATCTACTATTTCACTTCGAAAATTTCAAACATACAATAAAAATCCCATTTCAGCTAAAATTTGAGATTCTACAATATCGTCGCTTCCCTCTTGATGAATTTTCCCGACGACAAATCTCCAGAGTGAATTAATTTCGTAATTTCCAGTGTGCCAGCTAATAGAGAGAGGAATAGCTGCCATTTTTGGGCCAGAATCACCGGAAATAAATGAGATGATTCAATCAGTGTCTTCGGGAGTGGAAATCCCCCAATTCCAGACATTCTGGAATCCCAAGTTGGCCTCGACGAATAGATCCATCCAGGTATGGCTCACAAATTAGCGAAAGAAAGATATACAGGGTGTTTCCTAAATTGGATCGATAAATGAAATGGGTAATAGGAAACGGAATGAAATTGTATATTTTTGTAGAACATATTGGACTTTGAAGTTTTGTGAATCATTGATCGAAGGTTGGAAGCTGCTAAGCGTTCATGTTATATGTTTTATACTCCATATTGTATTCATCGCCCAACTTCTGAAACACCCTGTATATATCCGCATCGTATAATGAGATTTTTTTCAATAATACGCGAATTCGTGAACATTTTTTATTCCGAAAATAATGCAGAATGACATTTTCTCATTGATTCGCTATACTTGATGATATAATTATATAATAGTTAGGTTAGTTCTCGAAATTTCATGAAATGTTATAGGAACCAGTTGTTTCTGTTCAGCTTTCCTATCCAAATATTGACGAATTTCAATAATTTTGTTGATTAAATGAATTCGTGATATTTTTCGAATATTGCACAGTAATTGGTATGTATCATATCCTGTAGTATCATATTCTGAGAAACTTCAAACAATCTCATCAAGGTCTTTCAAGAAACTGAAACAAATACAAAAAAACATTGAAAAAAAAAATTGGGCTCATTGGGTCCGCTAGCAAAAATTTGGAAAAAGTTTGATCAAGACAAATCAAGAAATCATAGAATACTCCCGAAAAAGTTCCTTTTTTTTTCTTGTGAATAATAATTTTGGTATGGAGTCTGAATTTCATCTATATGGATTCTAGACATTCAGTAGATGTAGGATGTAGCATCTCGAATCATAAGAGGAAACGAGATGAATACTCATTTTTCTAGTGAATTATCTTACAACATTGTAAAATAAACCAATGCAAAATCGAACTAGTATTTTTCAAGATATTAGATTTTCAACTGATTTGTCCAACAATGCATTCCAAAATAGTGCAAAAAGTTGTATTTCGTGCAAGGACCTCATCAGTGCGTACATGTAAGTAATCAGCTTTTAGCTGTTGGAAAAGACCTCAGGTAAACTTGAAGAAATATTTTTTTAATGTATTCTTTTCTATTCGGAAGAAGTCAAATTTCAATTTGAAAGTTATTGAAAGTGAATCAACTTTTTCAATAGATAAAAGCTGATTACTTACATGTACGCACTGAAAATTCATTTCGCACGAAATATATTTATATATCTACACGTGGCACAAAGCTAAGTTACCCTCAATCAACAATTTATTCACTTTTTCAACTTATTTGAAGTGATCTTCTAGAAAAAATGCCCAAGCGGACTAAATGCCTTCGAATTTTCACTAAAAACGGTAGATCCTGCTCTTCCTGACCTCGTCCAATATTCGACTTCTTCAACTTTGAAGAAGCGATAAAGTAGTTTACCTAACAAGTGCCGAAAGTTTTACTTTTCCGCAAGTGTTAGGTACACTATTGCCACTAGCATGCGAAAAAACATAAAAGTTAACAGAAAGAAACATTTATTATTATTAATGAATATTCAAATGTCAGTATACTGCCCAAAAACTCAACGAACTCCCCTTAGTGCGGTAAAGTGACTCTTTCAACACAAAAATGAGTGCGAAAAAGTGGAATATATGTTCTAAAACAGAGACTTGTGCCAGCAAGGAATTTCTTTCTGAACATTTCATTGAATTCTAGGGTATTTTCAACCTGCATCCGACCCCCAAGGGTCTATCGCAAGCTCTGTCCACCCTGGTGAGAGAAAACGACTGGAACAGTTATACGGTACTTTACGAGAACGAGGATGCAGTTCTGAGGCTGCAGGAAGCCTTGAAACGACGCAGTCCTGCTGATCCTGCGGTCCAGTTTCGGAATCTCGGGTCCAAAGACAATCACAGGTATACAAGATAGATAGATAGAGTGTTGGAAGTGTTGCCAAACGCCCGGATGATCAGTCGTGTGCAGCTTGCCTTCTGCTTAAGGTTCCATATTACTCTCCGCGGCAAAATTGACGATCTAAATCGATTTATAGGATGTATTAATGCGTTGCAGGATACCGGAAATGTAACTAGAGAAAAAGGAATGCTCAGCGAATATCGTTAATATTTCAAAAGAAAATCAAGAAGGTTCAGGCTGCAATTCAACAATTCGGAAAACAGGCATACAGTTACCTAGAAAAAATTGTGATTCCTACATTTCGACTTCGTTACTCAAGTATCGCCTTTCAATAGTAGTTGTTATTGAAGTGTTTTACATCGTTCTCGACATCGTGATTTTCAATGGAATTAGGAAACTGGAAGATTATATAGAGTGCCATTCGAAATAGAAAACCTATAGTCATTTTCGATTATTATTTTGCCCAATTGAAATCGTAAAATTTCCAGAATTATGTCTTCTGAAATTAATGAGATCTGATTTCAGAACAAACATACCGATTGAGAATACTTCCAGTTCTACTTTTCACATAAAATACCCTAACCAAAATTATTTCGGACCAGAAAAAAGAATAATTAATTTATTTTGTCACATTCGACATCACCTCGGCCGTCTTTTGTTACCAAATGTATTTGTTTTGGTTTATTTCAATTCCATTTCCCTGTATATATCAAAGTTTGAATAGGTACAGCTCAGTCGGTCATTTTGGACAGCCACATACAGTTTCCCATTTCAACGAGATTGCTAATTACAGATATGCAAAAACAATCGAGGTATCAAAAGAACTGATTACTTTTCGTCATGATTGAATTTTATATAATCCAGAATATTTCAATGATTTCAATCGTAATGTTGCAACATCGATACCACTAGACTAGTAGAAGATGAAATCTAGAGCCTAAAAGCAGTAGAAACTAAGAGCTAGAGGTTAGATATTATATATGTGTGAAGCTAGAGGATGTATGCAAAGGTCTAGCCACTGTATAGTCTACAATCTTAAAATATTGAAAGCTGGTTGCAAGGAACAAGGAGAGTGATAAACCTAGAAGATAAGAGCTTGAAAACAAGAGACTAGATGTTCGAAGTTATTGCTTGAAGCAATAGAGGCTTGAATACAGAAGTTATAAACTATGAGAGAAAAGCTTGAGAACAAATGTTACTACTACCAGGCAAACTCGAAGACCTCAGTAAGCAATCCTTTTGTCGAATAACTATCTACCATGAAATGGCAAATCTTCGGAATGATTGCCTAGGGAAGAACTTATAAACTTCAAGAGTCCAGAAGAATAATACCCTATCAGGATGTTGAAGTCATCGCATAACTCAGGCACTGCGTACTAAATCCCTAATGAAAATTCATGAAATGGAGCAATCAGAGTTCGGTGCTCGGAATCAATTGCCCTCACGCTTGATAATCTCAATAACGTAATTATGTGACGAAGTGCGATTCTCAGATTCTTAGTATTTTCCGACGCTGTCTGAAAATCGTTTCAGTGGAAATCGGTACCTAATTGATAGGGAGCATCTCTCGCATGCAAAATTTGATAAATTGAAGGAGCATAAAAGAACCGACATTGAAGGGTAGATTATCAGTTAGATCATTATTACTCCAGCGAAGTTGGAAAATTTTCATCATTTGTAAATGATAGCACATTAGGTATCGGAAGTAAAGCACCCTTTATTCATTTTCGAAAAGCGATTAACATAGAATAGAATACCTACGGAGACTAAAGCTTGAACAACATTGATAAATCGATAGTATCTGATAAATACACATTCGACTGTTCAAATCTACAAATTTCACCATTGAATACAATAAATACATGGAATGCATTAATCTCGACGTTAGTTGGGGTTAAAAATTTTCAACCTGCCAATTCCTATAGAAAAAACATATCCCACATAAAAACATGCATTAGTCTTACGGAAATTACTGTCAGCTAACACTTAATAAGCTTTTAACTCCTTTCAGCCAGATTCGCTTGAGAAATCAATAAGCGTTTTCTTCCAGTAGAAAATGAGTTTAAGCCCGCCAATATGCAATAAACGTACAATATGAAAGGCTACAAAAGGTACAAAGTGGTCGGTGGAGAGTGGGATTTTTATTGCTTTTCAAAGAAGAGAGATAGTGCTGAAAGGATCCTAGTTCAAACGAATGAAGCTACTAGAATTGTGAAAATTCCTCACCCAAAATCGTGCTAGGTACAAATTGATATGTTTAATGAAAACATCGAGAGCTCATTTGTTTCAATGAGATAAATTTGTCGAAATGGCCAATTTTGATTTGATTGTCTAATTTCAAGTTAGTTGTTGGTTAGTTGTTTGTTCGATTTTGGTTTTTCATTTTGCACTTCTACAGAAGGTATAGGTATGTGAATTCTTCAACACTCCTTTCTCAACGATGAGCCACATAGGTATTATATATTTTATAAAAATAAATTGACGATATGAAGTTCCCACCTTTTCATTCTCAGCTTCCGACATCTTCGCCAAACAGGGAACCGAATCTGTGTTCATAGGACCAGAACCATATTTTGAGGTCACCGCAAGTGCGGCGAAAACAACTATCTCGGGCTGGGCGGAGGGAAAAACACTCACGTACTGGTCTGAATTACCAGGATTAAACCATTCGAAGGCGTTCCTGCCTAAACCATCGGAAAAAATAACCAGGCAGATCCTAGAATGGAGCAGGGGTAACCTGCCAATTCTGACTGGACTGCTTACGGGACACTGTCATCTAAGATACCACCTGGGAAGGATGGGTCTGAACCAACAAACGGACTGTCGGTTCTGTTGTGTGGAAGACGAAACGGCTGAACACATATTATGTTCATGCTCTAGCTTAGAAAGACTGAGGTTCGACACATTTGGCTTTACCAATTTAGAACCTATCGATTTCAGACAAATCTCACCCAATTCAACCATGAACTTTGTAAAAAGATGTGGATTGTACGGTGAACTGTAACCTCTAGGGGTGAGCCACAATAGACCCATCTGGGGTCGCAGTGGCGGGGAGGTATTCGCCCCACTCACATGGAACCTAACCTAACCTAACCTATTCTCAGCTTGCATGCCATCATTTCGGTAAAGTGAGCTCCTATTCAACTCCAATTACATCAACGAATATAGAATTTTATCATTGCATAAACAACCCTTCCTTCTTATATTTGTTGATCACTGGAAATCTTTAATGAACATGGGGAATTTTATATTATCTCCTTGACAGAACAGTGGATCCTGATTAGAAATTGAGAATTTTCTTAGGGTGAGCATGGAAAATGAATAACTCAGTTCAGGATAGAGGTTTCTTGCTGACTGAACATGTGGTCAACAGCGATTTTTGCATTTTTTTTAAATAAACCAATGAACAGACAATACTATACCTCTCGCCTTCTAAGTAGGTTTTTATTAAGGACGACAATGTTTCAACACTGAAAGTAGATAAATCTATAGCAAACATGTTGACGATAGTCTCTTGGGGCATCGGGATAAAATTAATCAGTCTCACTAGGGCAATACACCATAGGAAGGGGGATACTTGCTTATGATAAGATAGCACAGAAAATTATTACTAGATTCGTTCAAGACAAGCTCAACTCTTCCGACTCTTTCGCAAAATGTCACCTTTACCACGCCCATCTAATTCTCACATCTCACTTTCGTGGACCAGTACTCTCGTAGGATATCTACTGTCATATTATCCAAAGCACGACTTAATGAAATATCCTCGGTATTGATTTTCAGGACTGTACTGAAAGAAGTCAAGAGTTCAGGCGTTCTCCATCTGATACTAGACTGCGAGACAGCTCACATAATGGACATATTAAGGGAAGCCAGGGAACTTAAATTATTATCGGAATTCCACAGCTATATACTGACAAACTTGGTGAGTTATGATCGTGGAACGGCAAAAAGACCCTTTTTGGTCTTACAATAGTGACGTTTAATGAAGAAAGTTACGGGAATTCAATCGCTTATAGTTGAAAGAGACCTCTGAGATTCACCAGAGAAAATCCAGATTGTCTTGTCTCTAAGTATAGGAGTATTATCTCTTCGGAAGACTTCAAAGTCATTGTATCTATAATGTTTTTGAACATCAAGACATGTTGGAATTTTCTGATCTGATTTCAAAAATTTTCTGGCATTCTATATTATGGGATCTTTTGTAATAATAATATATGTATATCTTGTACACTCGCCTGCAAAGAAGATGTCGCGATGAAAGTGAAAATGGATGGAAACGAAAATAATGAATTCGATCAATCCGTTGAAGGATGTCACAAGATTTTTCCGTGGTACAATATTGATAATTTCGGAAATTTTAAAGGAAGGGACAAAATCAGTTTTTCAGTGGACTTACAGAAGATTTCCTGCCTTCCATTATGCATACCCCAGCGACCTCGATAATGAAAAAATTCCCCTCCCCTCTCGGAATAAAGCCGTGACAGCCCTTTTCACTAACCGCTGCCTTCCTGGCAGTCTCAAAAGACATGGAAATCAGTATATAAATCATTTACTTCACTCCTACGCTTTTGGCAATGGCAACGTCACAATAGCGAAAAAAAGGGACTCTCTTATCTCATTCCCGAGCTGTCCTCTATTTTTTTTCTCGATGTCAGCGTCGATGAAGTTTGTTTGTCTCAATACGAACAGTTTTTCCTATAGGAACTTCTGAGATAATGACATTTCCACATGAGTAAGTCGGTAGGAAGCTACCAAAAATCATCTGTCACTTATGGTATTCATCTCTGAAAAGAATCTACATGGAGAAGAACATATGGGGATAGTACAAATAGTCCTTGAATTCAATCGAAGTTGACACGACAAAATACTTTTTCACCGCATCAAAATATTTTCGTTATTTTTCGAGTAAAAATGTATTTTATGTAACTCACATTTGATTCAACTGGACAATTAGTTGAATTAACAAAGAACATTCTGCTCCAATAAAACAATTTCTTCCAAAAGAGAAACAAGTAGCACAAAGTCAGTCGACTACACTTTGTATAAAAATCTTCAGTTTAAAGTTACCAATTTCAGCACTACGGCCATCATCAGACAATGGTACCTAAAATTTTATGTGACACTAATGAGGACAAACATTTTTCAAGAACATACAAAAACAATATGGGACTCAACATAAAAATCAATAAGTCATGAGATGATTTTCGTCGATGGGTTAGCAGAATCGGGAACATTTGTAGCTCTTTTTAAATTTACTGAAGAGCCAAAAAAACTGGCTCTAGTAAGGTTGAACATCTGTATGCCATCAGTACTAAAAGGAACTGAATGTAGCAAATGTTTTTCCGCACAGACAATGACAATGACAGTGATTGTTGACTCAGAACTTAAATTGAATTAGAGGATTTCATGGAGACAATGATAAATGATTCAGTAGAATAGATGTCAATTCTAGTGCACATTTCTAATATATTTTGTTATTTTGTTTATTGTTGTTCTCCAAATGATGGATAAAGACGTATTATTATTATTTTTTGGGGATAATGGGTGGAATTTCATTTAAAACAACATGTTCACACCCCTCCCCGCCCTCCCGTATAGGAAATGAATAAATAATATGTTCAGGGCACCTCCATGGAAGGGGAGAGCATCTTATTCAAGGATTTGTTTCAAAGTTTCCAATATTTTGATTAGGTTTCGAGATGAGTGTTGGAGGCTTGAAATCTATGAATCAATCGCTTTGAATAAGTTCCTGATTGGGTTTGGAAAGTATAGAGCGGGTTTCTGTTAATCCAATCTGTATAAAGTTCGACAATCCGATCGACAATAAAGAAACCTAACCTAACCCAAAACTAAGGTGATTACTAGGTGAGTTAACCGACAATAAATCCATGTCCTGAAAACCTCGAATTCTCCATTACTGACCTCGGTGCAACTCCGTAATTATCTGTGTATAGACGATCCGAACTGACCCCACAGGACTCTGGAAAACAACCCTGGGGATTAATCCTGAGGTCGAATATCCTGAATATTGTATAACGCCTGCTCTAGTCGAGGATTACTCTCTGTAGATTCATGAAAGCACTGTAGGAACTACACTTTTCCATTTTTTTTCAGATTTGAGATTACCGTCTTCTCTTGTTCATTAAATCGTGATATAGAGGGCCTTTCAACAAAAACTGATGGACCCATCCTATAACTAGATAACCGAATCCTTTACCAGAAATCGCCAGAACCCGTCGATTTATAGTTATATCAATTTGATACTGACTGATCATTTTTAAACCCTTTCTATCGCACGAATAGTCTGGTGCATCGTTTTTGGAAATCGGTTTGAACTCGACAGAGCTATCGAATAAAATCAATACTTGTCAATAGTTGAGAAACCGCATTGTCGTTAAAATTTTTTAACCTAACCTGACCTTGGCGACCGCGAATAGTCCAAAATGACCTCCATCAACTTGCAAACAATGATACGAACTTTTTTCAAATTCTTTTCAAACTTGATCTTCAAAAAACAACGGACATCATGACATAAATATGATATTCCTTCCCCCTCTAAAATAATGACAGTTCACTGAAGCCACACTACTTTTTGATAGTCAGCAATTTCAGCAGAATGTTGAGTGGGAATATTTGGAATGAATAGTATGTTTGCCTACAAGTATCTGTCACTTTCAGTGAATTTCTTTGATTTCAGAATGAAAAATTAGCAGATTCAGTACTGTCAGTTGACATAAATATGATATTCCTTTCCCCTCTAAAATAATGACAGTTCACTGAAGTCACACTACTTTTCGATAGTCAGCAATTTCAGCAGAATGTTGAGTGGGAATATTTGGAATGAATAGTATGTTTGCCTACAAGTATCTGTCACTTTCAGTGAATTTCTTTGATTTCAGAATGAAAAATTAGCAGATTCAGTACTGTCAGTTGAATTCGGAATATGGCCATGGTGTCACTATTCTTCCACAATGTCTTTACGTAGCACGTTCAATGTTTCAAGTTGCGTGGCATACACTCCCGATTTCGATTGACCCCTTAAAAAAAGTCCAAATGGGTTAGTTCAGATGATCTTGGTGGCCATTCGATGGGACCTCTTCTACCAATCCAATAACCTGAGAAATGATCATCTGAAGATTGCAGCACACCAACAGCATACCAAGGGGTGCACCATCATGTTGAAAAATTATTTTATTTTCTATTAATTTGTTTGCATTCTGATGAATATGTACTTATGTAGTAGATTAAAAGTTTTCAATTAGTGCTCAATTCTGTTTGAAAGTTATAAGGCGGAATGTCAGTTATTTCACAATTATTGTCAAGTATTGATTTTGTTCAATAGCTCTGTCAAATCTCGACCGACGCACCAACAAATTCGAAATAGAGATGGATTTAAAATCATGTTTTGAAAGTAGGGTAGTTCCATTTGAAATTTCAAAGTTGGGGTAGTTGAGGATTAGGGGGATGAACACATCGAGTTCCTATATAACTGTCAAACATGCTCCCCACAAGTATACAAATTTCTGGTAGAGGATTCGGTTTCCTCTAGCTATATAGGGGGGAGGGTCAAGTTTTGTAGAAAGACCCGTATGTATTTTCTTACTATGAATCTGCTTGTTTCTAGGATGCTCATACTTTGGATTGGTCTGAATTCAAAGATGTAAGGACTAACATAACAGCATTCAGACTTTTGGACACAGAAAATAAAAACATGAAGCATGCCGTTCTGGTTTGGAATCAAATGTTGAAATATGATTGGTTCGGGCCCGTACACAATATAGCACTACAAAAAGAACTGGAATTATTCAGGAAGAAAAAGCCCTTTTCGGAGATTAGACCGCATGACTTACATGTAAGTGAACACCACTCAATTCCTGGGTATCGAAAAGTAATAACTGATAGTAGATTCGAAAAAGTCTGAAGCCGTTTGCTTCTTCCCGACTTTTTTCAATTTATTTCTCTGATACCTACAATCGAATTCCACACCTGTAACCAAATCCGAATTCTCTCTTCCAGACGAAAACGGCGCTACTATACGATGCCCTGAATCTTTTCATTTCCGTCTACTCCGAATTGGATACCAAAGAAAAGCTGACCTTGAAACCGCTCAGCTGCGAATCCTACGAGACGTCATCTCACGGAAGGAAATTCGCCAATAGAATGAAAGAGGTGAATTATCCCCACCTGCTTCATTCACACGCTCAAAAATTGTTGGTTATTATTTAAAACCTCAACAATATCATCCTTTTGTCATTGAAATTATTTCTGAAGACAAAAGATATATCTCTATTGCAATCGAATTGTCAGTTAACTGACACTACCAGTTTGTTATTAAAATGAGATGTAGGTACAGGGTATCCCACATAACATGGGCCACCCCCTTATCTGGTAAACTATTATATATACAGAAAAAAGTTCAGGATAAAAGTTGTATTACTTCTCATGAAATTTATTTTTTAGATACTTTTATTTATACAGGATGGTCCATATGTCTGTGACTTATCACACATACGTTTTTTCAAATAGAATACCCTATATTTTATCATATTTTTAGATAGTACTTCAGAAGACGAGTTCAATGATATATAATAACATGGGTCTGAGATCATCCGTTTCGGATTTATACACGATCTTCTTCAATAAATTGCCAAATTTCGAAGCCCTATAGAAACGTTGCGAATGAAGTTTCCGATTCGCAGTTCCCGCTATAAATTAACAAAGTCTGTATATTATTCTGTTCTATGGTGAAAATGTAGGAATTTTCAATTTGCCAAAAGTGATGACGTATTTTGAAAACCAATAAATATCTCGAGATTTTCAAATGGAACACCCTATATTCCATTCCAAATTTGCATAGAGCTCAGGAAGACGAGCTCAATGATATATTATAACATGTGTCTGATATCACCCGTTTCGGACTTATACACGATCTTCTTCAATAAATTGCCCAATTTCAAAGCCCTATAGAAACGTTGTGAATGAAATTTTGTATGTTTTCTTGATCCATGGTAAAAGTTTATGAATTTCGCATTGGCCAAAAGTGATGATGTATTTTGAAAAACGATAATTTTTTACAAATTTTCGAATGAAACACCACCCTATTTCATTCCATCTTTGGATGAAGCTCAGAATGACGAGTTCAATGATATATTATAATATGGGTATGAGATCACCCGTTTCGGACTTATACACGATCTTCTTGAAAAAATAATCAAATTTCAATGGCAAAATTCTGACTGTTATCTTCATATTAGATAAAAATTTTGTAATTTCTGTGACACAATTCGTAATAAAGAGTTTTGAAAACAACGAATATTATCGAAATTTTTATGTAATGTTATACCATTATTTCACTGGAAAACCTTTTGGAAATGATTGAGCACAGGTTATCACAATTAAATTTCACCTACATTTGACTCTATACGAATGCGGGAATATTCAATTAATAAAATGTATTTGAACATTTTTTTGATTATCTGCCTTATCAATTCGGATGCATTCATTGCAATAAACAAGATGGTGCTCCATATCATGATGTGCAACCAATTACGGACTTCTTGAATCAATCATACGAAACTTGGATTGGACGGGATGGATCTATTTTCTAGCCACCACTTAGTCCCGATCTCACCCCTTTAGATTTTTTCTTATGGGGTGGTTTGAAAAACAGAGTTTATGAGAATCGATGTGACAACATAGAACAATTGAAAGAAAATATACGAGTCACAATCGTGAATTTGAATGAATCACATGCAGTAGCAAATACACTGAGACATATCGCGAGAGATATACTACGTGCATAGCTGAAAATGGACGGTATATAGAAAATTTGATTTGACTACTTTGTATATTCAATTGAATACTATATCTAATTGTTACTGTTGTTATGTTCACTCGTTTTCTCAGTTACTGTTAGTTTTTTCGTTTGACTATTCATTAAAGAAGATCGTGTATAAGTCCGAAACGGGTGATCTCAGACCCATGTTATTATGGATCATTAAACTCGTCTTTCTGAGTTCTATGCAAATATGGAATAAAATATAGGGTGTTCCATTTGAAAATCTCGAGATAATTATTGGTTTTCAAAATACGTCATCACTTTTGACAAATTCGAAATTCCTGAATTTTCACCATAGAACAAAATAAAATACAGACTTTGTTAATTTATAGCGAAAGTTGCGAATCGAAAACTTCATTCACAACGTTGCTATAGGGCTTTGAAATCAGACAATTTATTGAAGAAGATCGTTTATAAATCCGAAACGGGTGATCTCAGACCCATGTTATTATACATCATTGAACTCGTCTTCTGAAGTACTATCTGAAAATATGATGAAATATAGGGTGTTCCATTTGAAAAAACGTATTTGTGATATGTCACAGACATATGGATCATCCTGTATAAATGACACTATCTAAAAATTAAATGTCATGAGAAGTTATACAATTTTTATCCTGAACTTTTTTCTGTATATATGATAGTTTACCAGATAAGGGGGTGGCCCAAGTTATGTGGGATACCCTGTACGTACTTATATGTAGTTCCTATACAACCAATGAGATGAATGAACACAATTTAAATAATATTTTTGAGGTAATGTCTTCATCTTCTGGGTCTCCTGGTCGAAGGCTTCACTAACTTTAGTCAACAGATTACCATAGCTATTTTCACTTGATACTCATCTTCTACTCCATAGCTTACTCGAGCTTACCACCTCAAGAAAAATTATTAGATGTAATTTCAAAATGTTAATGATGTGAATCTCTTGAACGGTTATTTTCATAGCAGAAGAATGTTAGTAAGTGAAAATGTTGAATCCTTTAATCTCTATATAGATAGTAATCTACTGGAAACTTCAACTTCAATTCATGTTATCGTTGGCTTTTTCGGTGTCAGATATAAAACTCTTGATTTTAGTGCATCCGTAAGTGGGTTGGTTCAATGACTTCAGGTTTTCCATCAGATTTTCCAAGATCGTATTCCTGATATTTCTCGATAATAGCAACACAATTTCCGGAGAGAACCTATAATCTAATTCCAATATTTAGCAGGATACAGAGCTGTTTCACAAAAACAATCAGTATTAAACTTCGTGTTGTTATAAGATTGGTTTTTATTGAAATCGTGTAAACTATGCCATCGTATCGTATATGGAAAGGTTAAAGTACCCTGGAAAATATAGACAGATTTATAGCTTCTCTTCATGGCTGAGCTGAAATCGGGATTCTATTGACTGGCTATATTGAATTAAACTTGAGTTAGCGCTTACTGGAAAGCTTTCTATCATTCTTCCCCACGTTCTCCTCATAGTAACATCAAATAAAATGGTCAACACCGAAAATGAGACACTTCAAAATTGCTTATGAGTTCAATAAGTTTTTAGTTGGAATAAGTGCTTATTCTTATAGCTTTGAAACTTTGACTTAAAAAACAGTATTATTTGTCCGAAATCTCATTTTCTTTTAAATATCTTCGATTTGTTGCGAAAAAATTATATCTGCAAAATTTTTGGGAATTCCTAGAAGATATAATTACCAATTTTACCCACAGAAGATCAGCAAGTCATTTCAAAAAACACATAAGAAGAAACTCATATTTTTTGTTTGAAAAACATTAATTTTGGACCATGGAAAGCATTGACAGAGACCTTGCCGTATGCATATCCTCACAATTCACTTTGACATTTTCATTACGAAAGAGAAATCAAGAGCTGCCCCTCCTACTCGAACCACTGACAGGTGACATGTGGAAGTTTGACCAGAACGGCTACAGATCGAACTACAAACTGCAAATAATCGAGCTATACGCCACCGAATTCAGAATGACGGCAACGTGGCGATCAAAATATCCGAACAGCATCACATTGGCACTGACAGAAAAAGATCGAGATACGGAGTTGAAGGAAAAAATTCAACAAAGGACCTTCCGAGTTGTGTCAAGGTGGGTTTTCCTGAATATTCGCTGTGTCATTCATTAAGTTATTCCTGGGTATACTTTGTGCAATATCTCAAAAGTTCATCTGTGATACATGAAAATGGTTCGAATGTTGGTCTTGCTCAGTGACTAACTACTAACAGCTCAGAAAATGCACTCCGTACCTACGCATCAGACCAAGTGGAAAAGGCTAATCGCGAGATTTACGAAGTGGACGACATCTAGGTTACATAATACGAACTTTAAACTGGGGGAAAACAAACTGTTGTCTATGGATAAAGTGCATAGACTACATTGCATTCAGCTTGCTATAGCCATAGTCAAACTTGTCAATAACATAAAGTGTTGGCACTGTTGGTAGTGATGATGGTTGAGTTGGTTAATTTTTTTACATTATTACATTCTCATTAGTTTAGTGAGCAGTGAACGGGTGAAGAATTGGAGATAGTTCAAACAAATCAAACTAATTATGACGAGCAAATTAATTGACATATAAAAGAACAGCTACAACATGTTTACAATACCCAGATTGTCCTGCTATGCATGAACAAATACAAATCCATTGTTCTACAGGAGTTTCTCTGGACCCCAACTTCAATTTAACTTCATGAGGGGAAGATTTCATCGCCAAAGTGCAAAAATGTGCCTTTCGTTGAAGTCTTCTGCCTCACACAAAATCACATGATTAGCACGGAGAACTGCTTCTCCGTCCACTACTGGTCGGCTTTTTCCATCTAAATAGAGCAAAATGTCTGCCAAAACAACATCTACAACAGGCATTATTAGCGTTTTCGATCGAATATTGACTATTAATGTCAAGAAATTAGAAAACTTATCACTCTTATCAGTACACAGTACACAAGCTAATGGCACTAATGGGATTGAGTGAGGATTGAGTTTGTTTTCCCCCAGTTTTGACGTGACTTTGACATGGAACGATGAAAACCGAGCGCCACCTGGTAACATTGATTCCCGCAAATAAGAATAAATTAGAAAACAATATTAGGATTATCACTGATTAGCTGTTTTTGTTTCAACGTATACGTCTGAGTTGCGGCTTCTGTTATTTGTTGGTCGATTTTTGTGTTTCAGGTTGGGAGATCCATATTTGATGCAGGCAGTACCTCCGAACGGGAAATCCCTATACGGAAATGATAGATACGAGGGGTACTCGATGGACATCATGAAAGAAATCTGCAAACCGGAGAATCTCAACTGCAGTTACACTTTTGAGCTAGTTCCCGACGGCATGTACGGCAACTACGATCCTAAAACGAAACAGTGGAATGGACTCATCAAGGAGTTGCTCGAATATGTAAGAATGCGAGTATTATATAACTCAATGGGGTGATAAGTACCCTACACAGTTTAACTATTCACATTTCTGTTATGGTCTGCTCGTTAGCATTGCTCAACATGCTAAAGTTGATTTGTCTGTTCTAAGGTTATCTCTGATATCAACAGGGGTAATGTCGACAGGTTGAGCAAACACAAACAAAAACAGGCTTCTAGATTCTAAATAAAAGTAAGATCAGAAATGTTGAGAGTATGAGATACAAATTTCCTTGAAATTCTACAGTTTTTAACCAGTTGTGGAAGCATATTGTATTCACTATTACCATCAACAATGTCATGAAGAAGAAATAGAAGAATATAATAAAGATCACTCCTATTTTTTTCTCCATTTTAGAAAGCAGATCTCGGAGTTTGCGATTTGACGATAACATACGAGAGACGGAAAGCAGTGGATTTCACAATGCCCTTCATGACCCTAGGTAAATATTATATGAAATGGAAATTCTGAGCAATATGAATTCGATATATATTCGCGTAACGCTATAGAGCTTTTTCCATTTCGAATATTTGAACGTGAAAAGGTAATTGAAAGCGAGCTCCGAATGTAAAATTGCAAATTCGTTGTAGATTTCAAAGAAACTTCCGTATTCCCAACTATTTATGCAACAGTCACTTATCCACCATGAATTTTTATTCCCTTATTGTGCAAATCCCATTACCCGAAACGGTATTTCGTTGCTTTTTCCAAATTGTCATCTACGTGTAAGTTGTTCTCCATAACTCCCTCGCGTTTCGAAACTTTTCACGAGAATAAAACGGCAGAATCATCACTGTACTTTGATGCAAAGATCCCCAAACAAACAAAGTAACAAATGGTAACAATGCTAGTAGCATGTAATTTCCTCACCGGAAACTTTATTTCTGGCACCAATAAAATGGTCCAATTAATCAGGGCCAATCGCTTTGTTACGAACAAAAACTTTGCAACACAACAGTCTCGAATGAGATGTTTGCCATTATAGCCCAGGAAACCTCCGACATAAATTGAAAACATAATTGATTTTTTAACGCCATCTGAAGCAAATCTCAGTTGTCACATATCCATCTCGGATCATATTCTGAAAAACTCAAATAGCAACTATAGACGAACTCTGAAAATCTCAAATGCAAGTCATCGCAAACAATTACAAATTCGAAGGTAACCACCCCGATTAACGCCTAGCGTTACCATATGGATCCACCAATCGACATTTCAGGTTCAGATCTCATTATGTTTTAAGCGATTGCCAGGACCACAGCCGGCTCTGCAACAAGCCGTGGTGAGAGAAATGCAACATCGCATCGCCATAATCCAGTTCTACTCTCGACTGGCGACCACTATTGCTAACCGCGTCAATGTAACGTCAATTCCTGGCTTTGAAATATTCAAACTTTAATGTTTAAACTAGCAAGGTTAAGTCAAAAGTCAGGTATCATACAGTTTCTGAGATAAAATAAACAACTGGCAAGTCACATTTCACATCGACCATCCAAGTTCACGAATTGCGAGGCAAGATCTATCCTAGGTAAGAAAAAATACATTTTGAATCATTTAATCCCAACTTAATATCACCTAGTGATTCTTGGACCTGCATCTCATTCAATATCACAACTTGGGTAGTTGTTTTCAATACTACTGACTGGGAACCTAATTGATAAAAATTGATTTGACTGTCTTATGGACTTTTTAATTCCAACTATCAATTCTCAACTGTCCTGCATATTCCCCAACTAGTGTACAGGTTGGGGTTATTTTACAAATCAGACAAATGCAAAGGTCCGTTAAACGGTTTATTCGCAGCATACACCAATCGAAAATTGCGTTATCCTATCAGTCCCAGCACATTACCTAACCTCAAACAAGCTTTAAATGTCAGTCTCCAGAAAGGAATAGTAGAAAAATAGCTACTCCTATACATAATAATAGTGACTTACCTAAAACCTGTTACCCTGGCTCATAGTAGCACGCTATTATTTGGCAGTTACACCCAAAGGCTTGTAGATTGCTTAATGCGTATCAAAATGGCTTATAACAGCCTTATACGAAGACCAAGCTTCGAGTTTGCAGGACAAGACGGCGCAAGAACCTACTGCGACCTTCAATAATATTGAAATCTTACTCTTAGTGACACCTGAAGGAAGGTCAAACAAGGTAGGTGAGGATGCAGACTGATAAGAATCTAACGCGGTACTTCGATTAGCCCGGTCAGTGATCTCCGATCGAGGTATTTTGGTACACTAGCTGATAGTAATTGAGAATATGACGTTTGTCTTGAGGATTCCTTCTCAATGATATAGTAGGTTTAGAAAGATACATTTGGAAAAATTAAAGGACCTGCAGATTTAATCCATCTGGAAGAGAAAATGTATCATATCTAATATTATCTGTTTCAAGGGTGCTGCATAATATTAAGATGATGTGCAAGGTCCAATTTTGACGAGGTATTGCAGATATCCACACACAGGGAAAGAGAATAGGTAAAAAACATTTATTCGAGCGCTACAAAGACTGACGATTTGGACGCGACCAGATTTCGGCTCGATGTAATTCAATGTTCTGCGTGGCATATAGCTAGAAAAGTAGATGTTTTTCTCTCGTTATCTACCAATTTCGTTAACATTTGAGTTTCGAGTATTTACTCTTGAAAACTGATCTAATTCATTCTGTTGCATTCACAGGCCTTATATCGTGTATGTGCAAATGGAAGCGGCGGCCAGTTATTCCGGGACTATTACAAGCTCCGTGTTCTCTATTTTCGCAGGCATCAGTATTCTGTACGCCAAGGCGGTGAAGGAGCCCCCCGAACTGCTGTCGTTCAGCCATCCCTTATCCTTCGAGGTCTGGATATACATCGCCACATCTTATTTGATCATCTCCATCACAATGTTCCTGGTGGCCAGGTAAATACAGCCGTTCCGCTTAATCATGTTTGGTTTGCGAGGAGCGTATCATGTCTCGAGGCAACCGACAATGACATCGATCCCAAGAGAAAAAGAAAAAACTGGCGAGAGGGCTCGAAATTGTGGTGATGGACTATTTCACAAAAAATCACCCATATAAATCATGTATTGGGTGGGTCAAATGACAAATGACAATGTTCAACCGAATGAATGAACGACATTAATTTGAATTCATATAGTGAATCTATATCTAATAACTCTCTTCGTGAAGGTTCATAGTAGGTTCCGAATAATTTAGTCTGTATATACATTTGATAATTTTATTTTGAAGAGTTTTGAGAGGCTTTATAATTGATAGTTCTGTTGAACCCCATACAGAAATCAAATATGCGGATATCACCATTGAGTTTTTCATGAGAATCAACCCTCAGGCATTGATATCAGCTTTTTTCCTTCTGGTTGGAGAATAGGACTTTCCCTTCAAAATTATCCAATTAGGCCCACCCTGTACATATCGTGATGGCTACTGATAATTCAAAATTGAAGGAGATTCAAATTAGATCTAGAGTTGTGCGTTAGATCAAGTGTAGTTTCAGTATGTTCTCTAAGTTTTTTGAAAATAGTTAACTTGAGGACGACTATGACAAAATGAGTTTACTGTTTATATTATAATATCTGATTATGGGATATTCTGTGATTAATTGTTAATCTTTCGATCTATAATCTCTGTTTCCCATCGTCCAAATACAGTTCTCAACACACTAAATTGACCACTCATAATTTGACTCTATTTCGAAGACCTGTATTTTTTGAAAAAACTGACCGATCTTCATGCGGTTTTATATCAGATGTGACTTTTCATCGGCTTCAAAGAGAGCTAGAACACTCTGAAAAAGTCCGCAGAACAAAACTTACACAGGGTGTAAAGTGGAACCATTACACTATGGTCTACATTTCCAATGCTGCCAGAACTCTAGAAATTTTTTTCTGATCAAAAGTCATGCTACACTGGTACCTCATCTCGGGATGTTTTCGTGATTTCTCCCTAACTGGCCATTGGAATAAAATTTCGATTTTTTTTCGAGTCTTGCATTTCTTGAACTTTTTCTCTGGAACTCCACTTGAGCTGACTATTGGAAACAACTATTCTCATGTTTTGTGGAGAACAATGGAAGACGAAAAAAGCGCTTTTTTGGAAAAAACTTGTACCAATCTATATACGAATCAACTTGGAGAATGGTCGCTCTAGGCATCTCTAGGTTTGCAAATTAAGACTAATTTAACGAAAAGAGTTCCCGAGGAAATTATACTCACTAATTTCAGAATTAACATTCAAAATCCATCATATATCAATTGATGGTCATGAATCAATATTTATGCGAATTGAGTATACCACTTCCAATCGTCGATACAATTTATTTCCAATCCTATAAGAATCTATAGACATCTCATATTAAACTTGAAATCGGAAAAATGATTATCTGATCACTTTCATACCAAACATTTTTCTTGACTTGTTCATGGCTTAGTTTCATATCAGTGCCACCAACTGGCAACTCGATTTTTTTCGAATTCCACGAAATATCTAGGTAACTGAACACTTTTACCGAACTGTTCTTGTATTAATTAGTCGTTTTTCATAATGTAATATAATTCCCAAAGCTCACGTATATAAGTAGAGAATCAATTTGATTATACAAGTTGTTCCTCTTCAATAAATTCTCAGACAAACATTGTCAATTTCCATATACCTCCCTGTGACGTTGTTATCTAAGTTGACATCAATGACTCCGAGACAGCTTTTGAAACCTCAATAGCTACCTCAATATTTTCAAGCCCACGAATTGTGAAGGCAAATCCATCTCTTCCTGCTTGTGCTCGAGTGCTATCTGTCAACGTTTTGGACTGTTATAATGGATTTCAGACAGCGTGTATGTAACCAACTCCATCGATATGTCAGAGAACGGATTTCGGCTGAAAGTGATAGATGTGCGTGAGAGAGAAACTTGTTGGAGGGCACACACAAAAAAATTCCAAGTTGAATAAGTCACAACATATCCGCTCCAGAAACAAAATGATGAGGGATACAAAACCAGGACCAATACTGGTACTGGTAGAAGCGGGAAAAGTTTGCAAGTCAGCAATTAAGTCTCTAATACTAAGAGACCTTATTTTTGCCAGCCCCACGGCTAACATCCTTTCAGATTGTGTATTTTATAGCTACCATAAACTGAAGTGGTAGGCTCGCCAGCTACCTCTTTAGCCCCTTTAGAGCCCTCTGAGTAGCATAGGACCGCTCTAACATTTGCTGGTACTTTTCCATACTCCACACCCACCTAAATAACATACCGTCTTACTTCTTCTCTGATGCTCACAAGCACATCGTCATTTCTTCCGATGCCTTCTGTGTAGGCATTATCAGTAACTCCATAGGTCACTTTAGATGCATCACTATTATTTGGAACGCACACCAATGAATTGTGCGGAGCTATCTCCGGTGGAGGATTCGAAACTCTTATATTAAAAAAGTCTCTGCTCTAGTGAGGATTCGATCTCGGTACCAACTCACAAGACCGATCGCTAGTGGTAATAGCGGTAGTCCCGCTCATATAAATATCAATACGCTCTAATAACATTCAATTTATGGCTTTTTGCTTATAGCCAATACACACTTATATTTCACTGATATATAACGTTGTATTTAGGTTTCCTAGTCATGTCATACTGTTTCATATTGTCCATACGTTCGAGTTTGATTCGTACAACTTTTTGAAATGATCATTAGGTGGTATCCAGCTAGTTAAGATTTCATTAATAGATCTCCGTCACTGTTTCAAGACTGTTTTATCTTGACTTGAGAGATAATTTGAAATACTCGAAAAACCAACATTCCAAGGTCCTGAAGAAATCATATTTTTCAAGTTGAATAATCATTTGAACACTACCATAAGATGAACGTTGAAACAGCACATGATAACGAAACATTTCTCATTTTATGTTACCTATTTGATACTGGATAGCAATAATTGGGTTTTGAAAGTATATGAGCTAACATCAATAGGATGAAGTTGAAGACGTGATGTACGTAGTTGTAATCAAGTTCGTAATCAAGTTGGTGTCTATACTTCTTCCAACGAATTGAAGAAGTTATATTCAATGAATTTGATTAATGTAGATAAATGAACAGCATTGGGACGTTGTATATAAATGATCTTTCTGATGAAATACATAAATAGGGGGTCCCTGAATGGTCTGTACAAAATGATACCATAGACTCCTGAGACCAAAGTGAGATAATTGAACCAGAATTACCTCTATACAAGGCGTTGGAACTGATTTTTTCTTCATATTGTCTATAAATATCATTCTGAAATTTTGTAGGCAAACTAAGAAGTCTATCATGCATAAAAAACATTCCATACCAGTTTGAGTTTGTGATATTTTTATTGGTTTGCAAGTTAATTGACCAAATTCAACTTGATGCATACCTGCTAACTCTTCAGTATTATTCAATTATTTTAGGTATGTACGTAATTTTCGTATGGAATTGTCAATCATATCAATGATATTGAATATGTGACACACATTTCTCTACGAATTCAAAAAATAGGGTGTTGCATAAAAATAAAAAATGAGAATCAATTTCCAACGCCCTGTAGCGGCTAAACGGAGCCTTTTAGTTTAGAGGTAAGTGTAGTTCAATCATCTCACTTTGGTCTATGTCTATGCTATGCTATGCTATGCTATGCTATGCTGTCTATCATTTTGTACAGACCTTTCAGGGACACTCTGTATACAGGGTGTTCCCGAAATTGTTGCAATCAATAAAATAGATGATAGTTATCGAAAAAACGAAACAAAATGGAAGAATACATTTTTGTCGAAAAAACAATATTTTTGAAGATATTGAGCATCAACGTTTCCATGAAATTTTTGTAAATTATTGATCATAGGTTAATAGCCCCACCCAATAAGTGTTTGCTTTCGACGGGATCACAAGCACCGAAGTATAAATGGCTTTTCCAATGTTGCCATACGTTCAATAGTAGTTGAAACATGTAATTATGGTGGGAGCGCACATTGTTTTATGTCTTATCTCTCATAAAACAACCCATTTTATTCATCGCCCCAATATCGGAAACACCCTGTTGTACAATGTTGGCTGGGTTTATATTCTGGTTCCAGAAGTGATGTTGAAAAAGCAATGTAAAACATACGTATCAACGTAACTACACGTGTTTGTGTGTGAGTCCAGTTCAATAGTCCACGCAAAATGATAAGTTTTGCTCGAAGAATGGTGGATACCTCTCTTTATATTTCCAGGATGAATCCGAACGACTGGGAAAACCCCCACCCCTGCGACCCCTATCCTCAAGAGCTGGAGAATATCTGGACCATAAGGAATTGCTGCTGGCTGACGCTAGGCTCTTTCATGGCTCAAGGTTGCGATTTACTGCCGAAGTGAGTGGTGTTTTCCATTATTTTTCGCATATCGCAGACGACAGAGGAAGATATCATTGCGAGATTTACTTCTACTTATACAGGGTGTTTCTTGAATCCGGGTAGAAAAATCATGGTCAATAAGAACTATAGTTTATGCAAAGTCAGTTGAACAGATCATCAAACGAATGTCGGGGCGCTGCCGCACTCTTTGAACTTTCAAGGGAACCGACGTCTTGCGGTGATGTTTTCCAACTGACTTTGCATAAACTATACATATAATGTACGTGAGACTTACAGATACAGAATAAAGGGTAGTACTAGAATGCACTTTTCTGCTTCGTATTCACACATCGTAATTTTGACATATTTGCTGATGGCTACGGGATTATGTTTGATGCCATAAATATAGTAGGTACCTACCTAGTTATACAAAATTGGAAATACGCGTTCAATATTTTTTCTGGAACTGTGCAGGGTCATTCCGTATATTCGAACAGCTTCTACAGGGTTGATCATTGAAGAAAAAAAAACTGTAAATACAAAAGTTGTAAGGTTTGATTTCATGGTGATTCCATGGATTTCACGGTGATTACATGGTGATTACATGATGATTGCATGGATTTCATGATGAAAATATGTTGATTACATGATGATAACATACTGATTACATGAAGCCTTGATTTCTTTTTTTGGTCCTCTAAGAGAAGGCGATCCATTTTAAGTATCAAACTAGGACCCTAAAATCTGTACCCTCATTCAAATTTTTGATGCCTTACCCCAAATTCGATTCTAGCGACGGGCCTGAGTGTAGAATATAGCATATATTTTCTGATCGTTATACTTCTAGCTGAAATATATTTGATGAAATGTTGAGTAGATGAGAAGTCACTGATGTCATTAGAGAAATTTCGACACAATCAACTGCGTTGGAATTAATCTTCTGTAATGAAATAGGAACATTTTCTTTCACTCCACTGTGAGAGAATCAAGAATCATAAGGAGAAAGAATCTTTTATTGCTACCGCTCGGTCTTTCATCGCTAATTTGAGAAAATGGCACTGATTCTGTGTACCATAAATATTGACTATTGCCCCGACGCCATCTGTTGACATTTTTCCGGATTTGGGAACACTCGAATTTCTAGGATTGTTTCTTTTCCTCTTGATTCAATATAGGGTGGCCAACACAACAGTTGCGTGATATTAGGGTGGTAAAGGCGGTCCGAACCAAATTATTCTCGCGAGTTTTAACATCTAGAATGGTACCCTTTCGGAAGGAAATAATAATGAATCTTTCCTCTAAATGCCCTTGATGTTATAATATAAATCGAGAGTAATGTCTATATCAGCAAAGATTACTATGATATCAGAAACCTGAATGATTTCCAACATTTTTGTTGACAATGTTGCCGCTTCTCTGAATTTGGTTTGAAATATGTATATTCATAAAAAATTGTAGGTATGATGATAATACAAAGACCAGTCTGTGCCAGCACCAAAAGATAGTCAATGAACATGTCACTATTGAAAGGTGAATGAAAGGTGAATAAAAGAACAATGTTTGGACGAATTGTTTCATCAAGATGAATATCTGTGGCGTCCAGAATGTACACCTTCATTTTTTTCTTTCTGGAGAAGAAGAAGCTCCAAAGGCAAACATGGAAATGCAAAATATGATGTAGCTCTTGAGTTTACACATTTGAACTTGCAGTTTTAACCTTCAAAATGTTTTTTTCATTCCCCTTTTTACTATTGCTTTCAGTGTTTTCACTTTCCTTTACAATAGAACAGGCCTTCTCGATTGGAACAGTTCGCGGGTTTCATTATCAATAAACTTTGAAACAATGTCCATATGAAAAACATTGTCCTTTGAATTCAAGTTATACACATCCATACACACATCCACAGACACATCGTGAAAATATATTACTATGGTTCTTCTAAGAATCGATCTAGACAATTTTCAACTTGGGTACCCATGAAGGACAATAATTCATGTCTGTCTTGCTTGTGTTGCATCCAAAGGCAACACAGTATAAATAACCATTATTGTTTATGTTTGGACGAATTGTTTCATCAAGATGAATATCTGTGGCGTCCAGAATGTACACCTTCATTTTTTTCTTTCTGGAGAAGAAGAAGGTCCAAAGGCAAACATGGAAATGCAAAATATGATGTAGCTCTTGAGTTTACACATTTGAACTTGCAGTTTTAACCTTCAAAATGTTTTTTTCATTCCCCTTTTTACTATTGCTTTCAGTGTTTTCACTTTCCTTTACAATAGAACAGGCCTTCTCGATTGGAACAGTTCGCGGGTTTCATTATCAATAAACTTTGAAACAATGTCCATATGAAAAACATTGTCCTTTGAATTCAAGTTATACACATCCATACACACATCCACAGACACATCGTGAAAATATATTACTATGGTTCTTCTAAGAATCGATCTAGACAATTTTCAACTTGGGTACCCATGAAGGACAATAATTCATGTCTGTCTTGCTTGTGTTGCATCCAAAGGCAACACAGTATAAATAACCATTATTGTTTATTGATTCGAAATCACAAACCTTTTCAACAACAATCAATTCACACCAACAAATTCAGTCCTTTCGAAGAAACAAAACACGTCAGATTAAGCGATATTCCACGTGTATTTCACATAACAAAAATTACAATGAAGTTCTGTCTTCACTTTTTTGGCCTGTTCTGGTGACAAGAAAGATCCCAAGTACTCCAATTATTGGATAAAAGGGAATTTATACACCAATCCGCCATTGAGCAACACGAATGTGAAAGAGACAGGTTACCGTAAATCATGCTATCTTTGTTGCAGCTGCCCCTGACACACTCTGTGCTATTCCTTCCAGTTGTTTACATTGAGTTCAATGCTTATAATATATATCTTATATAGTCTATGCCAGCACCCTGTATAGTTCGCGAATAACCCTGTAAATCTTGATATGTGCGTGTTCGAGTCGGCATCGACTTCAAAGCCACATTCCGAGAAGCGCGTGCCGAGACGCATCTGCCTGCGGTCCTTCTTCTATTCTAATTCTTCTCTGCTTCCTCTTCTTCTCCGTTCCTCTTTCTTCTTCTCGTCGCGAGGGACCGAACGACCGAACTGTGCCGTGTCCGGTCCTTGTAGGGATCGGCGGCAGTTCAAAGATGCCGCTCGAATTTGTTATCATATTATCCGACACGAGAACGGTATGACGGTCGTGTCGTTGAGTGATTGACTTTCATAAGCTACGATGGACGGAGGCATTCGTGACCGCCATAATGAAAACACTAAAAAAAACCTCGAGGAACATTTCATCTAAAATGCCCTCGATGTCTACGCACACAGACCGCGGAAAATCACACAAAAATTGAAATCGTCATAATGGGCGAGTAGACTGATAATGAATAATTGCCATTCATTTACTCCACTATGTCGTTAGAAACCTAAATTAATGTTCGCAACACTCCTCGCGCTTTTTTTATGTAAATAATGAGTCTATGCGTTGTTGAATTTCAGAGCTCATTTCAAACGAACCTTCAGACCTGAAGATCAGCTATGAGATCATCGAAGTAATGTTCACTTCTTTCTTGCAGCTCTTGACGTGGTTATCAATAATTATATATATGAAATTCCTCGCATAATTCATAAAATCGAAAAATTTAGTTCAACTGACAACATTTTTGTTAGAGGAACAAAAATGTTGTCATAGTGACAAAACCATTGTCACACTGTTTCAGTAATAACAAGATCTTTTGATATACAGGGTGATTCAAAAGTAAGCGGCATCCTTTCAGAGGCGTATTCCTTGCATGAAAATAAGGCAAAAAGTTCCTATTGATAAGGATCCGAAAATGCTTCCTAAGGGAGCTACGGCCCTTTGAATAGGACACCTCAAAGACGGTTTTTTCTCTATAACTTTAAAATCCTTCACAACAAATTTTTAAAAATTGGTGTACGGCATAAACATTCGATGGTAAATAGGACTCCGTATTCGAAATAATTTCCAAACGAAATCACAGTAACCTGAATATCCGGAGAAGAAGGGATATTTTTACACTTACCCTCTCCCGCATGTGACGCCCCTGAATGAAATTCTGAAATTTCGAATACGGAGTCCTATTTACCATCGAATGTTTATGCCGTACACCAATTTTAAAAAATTTGTTGTGAAGGATTTTAAAGTTATAGAGAAAAAACCGTCTTTGAGGTGTCCTATTCAAAGGGCCGTAGCTCCCTTAGGAAGCATTTTCGGATCCTTATCAATAGGAACTTTTTGCCTTATTTTCAAGCAAGGAATACGCCTCTGAAAGGATGCCGCTTACTTTTGAATCACCCTGTATATAGATAGAGTTTGGTCGTGGATATATACAGGGTGTTAACAAATAAGTGTCACAACGGAAAACTGTAGATTGCTCATGAAAAAAGAAACATTTTTTTCCCTTTCGAAATTTTTCTCCGGGCTTCCGTTATAAAGATACCGGACGTCAAAAAAATATAAAAAAATCTGTTTTTTGCTGCTATCTCAGGAACCGTCTGAGCTACGGAGTTGAGCCTTCGTACACACTTTATCATCAATAATGACTACTTTTAAGGCTCTTGATCAATTTTCTTGGACATGTCAGTGGAGGAGAATTCAACGCCTCGTAAGGGTTCAACCCCCCAAACATTCATGCCACTGGAGAAATTGTAATTTTCAAAGTAGATTCTGAAGCGCCAATAGCTTTCACACAAAAAACGTTCTTTTGTCTCAATGCTCTAAAGTGAACAGTTGCCGAGAAAAATGGCTCTTTATGAATAAGAACATACAAAATCTCTAAAAATCGTCTGAAAATCCACTAGAAATAAACACCTCAGAACTGCCTAATAATATGTTCAATCAAATGTCACGTTCTTGAGTATGTTGGTCTCGATGCTGGTTTTCGAATTGTTAAGTTTGTTAAGTGTTGTAAAGTGTGTTTAATTAAACTGAACATTTTTGATTTTTTGACGCCCTGTATCTTGAAAACGGAAGCCCGGAGAAAATTTTTGAAGAGGAAAGGAATGTTTCTTTTATTATGAGTAATCTACAGTTCTCCGTTGTGACACTTATTTGTTAACACCCTGTATAGGGCAGTCCTTAACGAATCTTTTGTTGCTGTGCATAATTTTTGTTGTTGTTTCAGAGGGATTTCTACAAGAATGGTAGCGGCCATGTGGTGGTTTTTCACTTTGATCATGGGCGCCTGTTACACAGCCAATATGACAGCCTTTTTGACCATGTCTAGAATGGGCCCTACCATCGAAAGTGCCGATGACCTAGCAGCGCAGACAAAAATCAAATATGGCTGCCTAGAAGGTAAAATAGAACAATTCCACTTGAAGACAATAAAATTGAGGAAAAGTTACCTAAATCCGGATTTCTAGGTAGAGAAAAGCACACGATTCAATGCCGTGGCTGTCGTAGCCAAGGGTCGGATACCAGTCAAGGCATTAAATATGCTTTTCTGCCATGTGAATCATATAATTGTTTCTCCACAAACAAACTTTTTCTGCCTAAGCAGTACTTCAGAAAGTACACCTTTTCTGCCTGTTGAGTGTCATTGAAAAGCCACTTTTAATGTAATTTGTACAGTATAAGAAGAGTTAAAAAAAATACTTCCTGGATTCAACTTTAATCGGTTTGTTCATTTGATAGATGTCCTATAGATAGTAGGCAATAGTGCACTTGGGTACAGTACAATTTGACCTTAATACCCCTCGCTGATAACCCCTGGGGAGAGTTTTGGCAGGAAACCATTGATGGCTGGGAAGTTTTGGCGGGAAAACATTGATGGCTGGGGAGTTTTGACGGGAAAACCATTGATGGTTGGCTGGGGTTTTCAGTTGGGAAAACCCCGGTTGGCTGGCTGGAGGCAAGGCATTGAGTGTTTTGGCAGGGAAAACCATTGAAGGCTGGCGTTTGTCTGTGGATACGTCACAGGTACGTCACAGGTGTGTCTCGGAAACATCACGGAACACGGAAACACCACGAAAATGTCACGGAAACGTTACGGAAACGCCACGGAAACGCCACAAAAACGTCACGAAACACGGAAACACCACGAAAATGTCACGGATATATCATTTTGACACCAGGACGCCGCACACTTGCTAATTTCCGTGGATAGGATAGTTTTTGTCGGTAGAATTCGTATACAACTATACTTAATGTAGGTATCGAGCTTCAAATGCAAATGTGGAGTAATGGGACATTCAACTGTGTGTCTGGTTAGAATTAGTTAGGAATACAATCTCAGTGGTTCCAAGTTCCAATGTTCCACGTTCCATTGAATATTTGACGATTCTTCTGAAATATAGGGAGCACCAAATGATTCCTCATTCCCCAAATTAATGAAAATATTCCACGATATTCACCACGTCCATTTAATGCAAGTTTAATCTGACAGAATAATCGAAACGGTTATTATTCATGGCAAAGTCTCATGCATACCAGTTCGCTTTGATGCGAAATACAAGCTGGAAGCTGGCGATGGAACACATCAGAACGAATCCTTTTCGTGATGCCCGATGAAATATTCACTAGATGCCAGTTGCTTTTGAATGGGAAGCTCTGGCTCTATGTTACGAGGATTTCCATTCTACCGGATGATCGCAGGAAAGCGGGTATCTCGCCGGAGCCGGTGTGGAAATTAATTTTCGTGCATAGCTAATTTGTGGTGGAAATTATGTGGAAAGCTCTTGCAGACACCGGCAGATAGCAGTCCAAGTTTCAATAAACATCATTTAAACTGGACAGGGTGAAATCCAGGCAGACAACTCCACCAAAACTATAATTTAATGTAAGCAATTGAAATGGTAAACACTCGATGCATTTTGTCCTTTTTACTTCCGAAGTTGAAAGTACTCTATGGCCTTTGAAGTTCCAAAAAATCAAGTGACAGCTCATTCAACGCAACTCAATTCTCTATTGAGCAACTAAAATCGTATTTGTCTTCATCTATTTTTACTTTCATGGGGCTTTGGGATTTTAAACTGCAAACTAGTCGAGTGACCCTCATTCTGAAGGTTATGAAATTACCCCAACTGTCATCACCATTTCCGATTGCAAGTGGTGCCACCCCTTTGGTAGGACACCTTCAACCTTGAAATTTCAAACTAGAAAACTAGTCGAGTGACCCCTCATTTTGAAGGTACTGAAGATATCTTTCTGACTTTAACGACCATTCTCGATTGCAGGTGGCGCCAACACTTCTATAGGGCACTATCAACTTTGGAATTGTGAACTAGAAAACTAGTCGAGTGACCCCTCATTTTGAAGGTACTGAAATTCTCTATCCGACTGTGATGACCATTTCAGGGGGCGCCACCTCTTCGTTTTTCAAGGACAACAACTTCTCCACCTACCACCGGATGTGGGTGCAGATGGAAAGTGCAGAGCCATCGGCGTTCGAGAAAAACAACAAGGACGGCGTGAAACGCGTGCTCACCAGCAAGAGGAAATACGCTTTCCTCATGGAAAGCTCCTCCATCGAATACGAGATGGAGAGAAACTGCGAATTGATGCAAGTCGGAAATAATTTGGACTCAAAGGGGTACGGAATAGCGATGCCAAATAGTAAGTTTGTTTTTGTATTTTTAGAGAATGAATAATAACATGGATATTCAAATATTTATCATGTAGGGCGAGGTCCAATTCATTCTGGAATCATGATAGAATCCATCATATGTTATCCTGTATGTACTTCCACCTAGCCCCCAAAAAGATAGAAAATTACACAAACAAAAATTATAACCAAAATGAAAGACTACCCATTGACAAAATGTCTGTTTTGATTTGACATGCACAGTGCAGTGTCTTGATGGGAGTATCAGAAGCCTTTTTGAGATCCATGAAAATAGCTACTACATAATTTCTTTTGTCAAGTCTGTCCTGTATGAAATTGATTACTTGTAGCACTGCTGATTGTGTACCACTGTTTTCTTGAGACCCAAATTAATTCAAATCCAATCCATATTTTTCATTGATGAATTCTACAATTCTTTTTTTCATAATGTACTAACCGGATTCCTTCGTCTTCCGCTGCAGTTTTTGTGCATTTCACAACAGCACAATGTGATGGCATGAGCGAATTGATGAATAGCTGAAAAATACGATTCGTATGCTAAAATAATTGTGAAAAACTATTTCGATCACTTGTAAACAAATGAGAAAAGCGAGGTTGTGTTTAAATATTGAGCCTCCAGGGTCGGTCATCTGACAGCTCTTGCATGCAAACCATTCCCCCAAAGACATAACCTCCAAAAGTTTAAAAAATCCGATGCATCTACCTTCTCTATTCATCCTTTCTACGTACGCACGATGTTCTTCAAACATTATGAGAACTTCCTTTCGTGCGTTCCAAAAGATAAAGTAGAGAGAAAACTATCCTTTCGAACCCGTTTCCATCGCATTAGGGCTAGAGGACCAAATCTATGAGCAAACTAACAAACATTGCACATCCGAAGAGTTGTTGCAAGGAAAATTCGATTTCGTCGCACGGGAGAGCTAACAAAAGAAGCATTAGTGTAACCAGGCAGGACTCGAGGTTAATTAAATTCGGAAAGTTTCTTTGCCGATAATTCGAGAAGGAAACCACAGGCGTCGGAAAAATGCGAAAACGAAAAACTATCGGGAAAAACCGATGAAAATGAATCTGAAATATCTCAATATCCAACAGATAATGTCCTGGGAATAGCATCCCATAGACGTCCCACGTGGTACATATTGTAGAATGTCCATGCAAGAACGTCCTTGGCATGTTCCTGATGGGATATGATTTCAAACGTTCCTTTAGGGACATTCATCGGATGTCCCGAGTAGTACATATCCTGGCATGACTTCAGATCTTATATAATGTCCCTTCTATACAACCACGAAATGTCCCTGATGGTACATTCCTTCAAATATCTCTGCACAGACGCCCTTAATATTTCCAGGATCGCATAACGATCGGAATATCCCTTAGGGATATCCGTCGGATGTCCCAATTAGTACATGAATTGTACACCTCGCCGACGAATGATTGCTCGTAGGCTATAAATACTCCCCGTCAATGTCCTTCACGTAAGTCCATTGGGCATCCTTGGGAAACTTTTACAGGATCTATTGGGGACCTTCTACGGACCATCAACTCAACTGGATGTCCTCATCAGTTATGCAAGATCTGGTCCTAGAGAGACCCAGAAAAATTCAAATTCAAGAATAATTCGTACGTTCCTGGAACATCCTATGGACATCCAATTGATATCCCTCAGCGTTGCTGAAAGGTTGTCCTACGGATGTCCTAAGGACATCCCTCAAGGACGTTCCTAGTTGGTCCTCAAGTGGGACATTTGTGCGTCCCACAGACGTCCAATGGACGTCCACGGTATCAAATTCGAACGTCCTATGGACGACCTGAATGTCCCGACAGCACGTTCTAAGGATATCCATGGGACATAATTGTGTTATTAGGGAATTGATCGTGAAGTAAGATGTCAGAATTGTTGAGTTTGTTGATTTCTGAAGATTCAAAATGATTGAGTTTCATTCCTTTATTTTCTACGTGTAGAATTTCGAAATTATCATCAAAACTATGGTTTGGCTTCTAATATACAGGGTGATTCAAAAGTAAGCGGCATCCTTTCAGAGGCGTATTCCTTGCATGAAAATAAGGCAAAAAGTTCCTATTGATAAGGATCCGGAAATGCTTCCTAAGGGAGCTACGGCCCTTTGAATAGGACACCTCAAAGACGGTTTTTTCTCTATAACTTTAAAATCCTTCACAACAAATTTTTAAAAATTGGTGTACGGCATAAACATTCGATGGTAAATAGGACTCCGTATTCGAAATAATTTCCAAACGAAATCACAGTAACCTGAATATCCGGAGAAGAAGGGATATTTTTACACTTACCCTCTCCCGCATGTGACGCCCCTGAATGAAATTCTGAAATTTCGAATACGGAGTCCTATTTACCATCGAATGTTTATGCCGTACACCAATTTTTAAAAATTTGTTGTGAAGGATTTTAAAGTTATAGAGAAAAAACCGTCTTTGAGGTGTCCTATTCAAAGGGCCGTAGCTCCCTTAGGAAGCATTTTCGGATCCTTATCAATAGGAACTTTTTGCCTTATTTTCATGCAAGGAATACGCCTCTGAAAGGATGCCGCTTACTTTTGAATCACCCTGTATATGGTAGGCGTATGTTGAATTTGTTTTATTTCACTTCGAGATGAATTCCAAGAAAAAGAACAGAAAAAAATCACTTTTCTTGATATACTTAACAAATTATCAAAAAATTACCACCACTTGTATAATTATTGTTGACCACATAGTGACTAAGTTTGGATCTTACAGGTGTGAATCATCAAGGAGAAATTCTGGTAGGGCATCATCATTTCACATCGAGTAATGACGACAAATAAAACTTGTGGCATTGTCAATGTCATAATAAACCCATGCACCGTCATCAATTCCACGAGGGCATAAATCTTTGCAGATAATAAAGATTTTTCAAAAGTGGCAGCTACCTAGCCTCTTCACAGCGTGCTTGCCAACTCGGCTGGCCCGAAAGTTTTTTGCGAATATTTATTTTGTCTCAATCCTCCATGGACCAATTTATTTTGATGCAAAGTGCTAAGAAAATTAGATCGATGAATGAAATTTGTGGGATATTGAGATACCATCAATCGCCAAAATATCACTGACCGAGAGCTGATGCTGATGAGGCCTGGTCGGACGAAAGAGTACTGTCTCGCTCCTGCTGACAATTGAGGAAACTCAGTTCATCCTAGATCTCTTAAGAATGAGAGCTAAAAGATGTTCTGCAAACACATTCATTTGCTTGTTCACCTCCGGAGACATTTTTCAAAAAAATAAACCGTAAAACCGTAAAAATTAAGGATTATGTTGAGGAGACATTGCCATTATTTTCAGATACACAATTCATTCAACATTTCAGATGGTCAAAATTCATGTAGGTACAGTCGCATTAAAAAAAAATGCGTACAAGTATATTTCAGAGAGAAATTAACGTCATCCTATTCTGCATAAAACGGGATATTGTTCACCAAATGTTGACAGTGAAGTTGTTATAGGTTCTCGAAAACAAAAGCATTGGCTGAGCCAGTTTTACACAACTAGAACTAGGATCCCGAAATCATCTCTTCTTAATTCTTGTACGCTTCTTTATTGAATACGACTGTACTATGTACTACAAATGATGGAATACCTATATTTCCAAAGGAGAGTTTGAAGCTTCAGAATATTATTCCAATGAAGATAAAGGTTTTGAACTATTGTTTTTTTTTGCAAATTCTGAATAGAGGTTATGTTCTCAGTGGTTCACTCCTGCCACGTTCGGGTTTTCATAATTTGTGAATCTGTCTGAAACAGTCCTAGGGTTCGAAACGATTGCGCATTAGTTCTACGCAGTTCGAAAACGATTCTTGAACAGTTCTGAAATCAGAACCCGAATGAACCTTATATTTACTTTGCTCATTTAGCTGACATTGTAGGTCCAGTAATGACAAAGCAATAGCAATAGTGCCGACTTAAGTTTGAAAACCCAGTAGAGGTATATTATACAGGGTAGTTCAGAATTGAGAATATTACTGGGCTGATAGAAAGTGCATCCAGAAACAAAATAAATATTATCTATAGAATAATGTAAGACAGTAATGTCTTACTCGTAGCGGTAGCTGAGAAATATTAGTTTTAAATTCATCATATACTCAACTCGATTATGGATCAATCAGCCCCAGAAATATCAGGAAACAATGTTGGACCACCGTGTAGTCCGTGTATACAATATACTATACACCACCAAAAAGTATAGCCAAAAGTTTGAGATAGATTTTAGTCAAAACAACTTGTTCGATTTGGACGTTTTTTGTTTTGATTAACAGGTTAACTTCTTTTTTATACAGGGTGTTCGGAAACATGAAATTTATTTCATATACACGTGGGTCCGGAAATGCATAGTTTCCAAGATACAGTGTATTAAACTTAAAAAAAAATCCATTTTTTTTATGAATATCTCAAATATCCTTCCACCGATTCTCTTGAAATTTGGCAATCATATTATTTTTCATGAGGGGCTGATTTACCCATAATTTAATTGGAATTGTGAGATCCACTGGCGTTCCGGGCGCAACTTTCGAATATTATTGTCAATAAAATGTGCGCCACTGATTTTTTTGATTTCTGTATCTTCGTAACCTATTGACCAACTAAATATGAAACATTTTGGTCTCTTGAATTGGTTTGATAATTTGTTTCGTTTCCGTGGAAGAAAATAAATACCAATTCAGTGTATAAATTTGCGCAAAACATTCCTTCAAAAACAGTTGTGAAAATAAATGCGTGATCCATGTCCATAGACATAGAATAAGAATAAAGATTCATTTTTTCCAATATTTTATAGTACATGTTTAACACACTCGGTATATTGAGAACTTTGTATTCTCGGTCCAGGAAGGAGTCAGTAGCGAGTATTTCTGCCTCGATCACGAATAACTTCTTGGAAAGGACGGCCCATACTAAAATAAGAGAACTTATGACAGTTTGTTCCAGTTCTTCCGAAATTTGAGTC